CCCCCCCTCACTCTCTCTCTCTCTCTCTCTCTCTCTCTCGTTCTCTCTACGCATGGGAGATCGTAGAGCGATCTATTTTCTCGAGTTTGATCTCAGTTTCGAGGAACAAATCCCGTCAAATGCGGGCTTCGCGGAAAGCTGGAAACTCATGGCGGTCTTTTTCTATCGTTCATCGAAATTACGAGGTTGCAGCCGGTGCAAGGCAGTCGGCGACATCCTGCGCCAGCTTCGAATTCGCGGTTTGCACCCTATTGCCTCTGCCATCGCTCGTAAACAAGTCGGCCGTGCAACTCTTGCTCTGGAACGATTACGTTTCCTCTGCCGTATGCAACGGAGTCGAAGCGCGGGATCCAGCCACGTAGACATAAACAGAATTCGCGAACGGTGACTCGTCGCGACGGCTTATTTTCGATAATGACGAAAATATCACCGTTCTCGATACCACGCGTGTTCGCCTTTCCCTCTTTTTTCCTTCTCTCTCTCTCTCTCTCTCTCTCTCTCCCTCTCTCTCTCTTTCTCTCTTCTCCCATATTTTCGTCTCTTTTCTTGCTCTTTTCTTCCTCCGATAAATATCGCGAAAGCACCGGGATCCTTGACAGACGACGCTCCTTTTAATAGAGATCATCCTCGAGGCCATTCTTGCCAAATATATTTACAAAAATTCACTTCTATGTTTAGTCGGTGCGATGCATAATTTGCTTCGTATTCATTTCACGCGCCACGGTACTCCATTTTTCAGCGGTGATTCCATAAATTGCTTTCTTCCCACGCGGCTGGCAAAATCCCAGCTATTGCCACATTCGTGTGTTAACCTTTATCGGAAGGAAGTCGCTCTCTCGGATATGCGAGATATTTTTATGCGTGTCTAGGCTACCTGTTATCGCCAATCGTTGCGCAATGTTATCGTTATATCCTCCGGATCGATATAGAAAATTTTAGAGAGCGACCTTTCCGCGAAAATAATTCGCCACAATCGCACCTTTAATGAACATTATTAAGCCACCATGCGCGCAGAGCCTTGAGAAATTATCGCGGAGCCGTTTCTTCAAGGAAACACACAATTATCTTCGCCGATGAGACATTTTCAGCTCGTTAAAATTTCTAAACTTCCTTTATCGAAGCGGCAGTGCGGCCCGACTTCCGGTTGCCAATGATTCGAGATTGCAACGAATCTAATCTAAATAGACGGGATCTCGCGGCTATGATGACGCGATTCTCAAAACGAAGGAGAGGAAATGGTCGTAACTATCCTCTAAATCATGCTTGTTCGTCCTTGATGCTCGTTACACCGATTCGCAATTAGACAGGGCGATTGTTATTCTCACGCGGCAAGGAGGGAATACTAATAACGAAAACGCGTTATCGACGTGACGTCGTAATCGGCTAACGACACGCGAAATTTATGTCGAGTCCTTTCTCGGCACGATAATGCAACTCGCATGCATCGGTCGCCAACGAAATATCGCATAACAACGCGCCCACGTTGCACCGACTGCATCGTCGCGGATTCATGGAGACCCAGCGCATAGATACACGCAGCTGTTTGTTTCAGATTACGAGAACCAAGTCTCTGTAATGTACTCGTCTGCCCAAGAATCGTGCCAAATTTCCCTTGTTATTTAACCGAAATGCACGAAATTGTTTTTTGTATCCCAGGCTGCCAAAGCTTGCCCGAAAGCTCGAGTCGGGGAGTGCGGCCATTATTCGCGAGAGTGAAAGAACATCGCGAACACGCGGCGTGGCGTTTCGAATTTCACGTTAGTCGTGGATTGTCGATAAGAGTCTGTGTCCCGCGCGAATCGTGCACAACTTTGCCGCTGTCGTCTGATCTTGCTTTTTCTTTTCGAACCAACAAGAGACGCACGTGGTGCGTGGACGATCGGTATTTTTATCGATCGACACAAGATCGCTGCCTCCGTCGAAAAATTTATTTTCGCGGTGACCAACGCGGTCCAGGAAGCCCGATGCCGTCGACGACATCGTCGTCGTCGCTGCCTTCGTCTTCGTCGTTGTCTTCGCGAGCGGGGCTCGACCCGGCTTGCGCGTTTCGCAAAGGCACCTTCTAGAAATAGAACGCCCAAATAATTTGCCTCGGATTACCAGCGACGCGTCGCTGCTTCTCTCTCTCGCTCTCTCTCCTTTTCTCTCCTCTTTTTCTCTCTTTTCAGAAGCCTTCGATGCATCGATTCTTTAAAATTTTGCGCGAATATTCCGTCCCGCCCCGCTCCGTTTCTCCGTTATTCCAGAGTGCGTGTGAAAATATTTTGCTCGGCCGATTCTTTAAACGTTTGTACGCGAAAAAAGATCCCGGTATGCAAAACATCGCCAGAAGCCTACGAATATGTTTACTCGACGAACTCAGGTAGTAACCTTTAAATATAGATCAGTGCGTTAAGTGACCAGCAAGATCGGTAAATACTGGCAATTGCCGATGTCGCAAAACGCCGAGCGAGTCATACATCTTAAAATTTACGATGTCGAGGAACAGAGCAGACGTCGCGGGCTTTTTCGTGCCGATTAACGCGAGCAGTATCTATAAACCGCGCGAACGGTTGCCGCGATGAAATGGCAAACTTCGTTAAAGGAATTACTCGCGATTAATTTGTAATTCTGTCGGGTGGGAGCGTTTGACACCGGTAGACTCATATTTCTCTCCTTTCCGAGAAACTCGAGGGCGGCCGGACGTCGTATTTGCGGTCTCATAAAATAAACGGAGCACGTGCTGCTAAGAAGGCCAAGTTCGAAATGTCGATTGCAAGATAAAGGTGTCGAACATTGGAACAGGATTCGCTCGCGTTCCTCGTCGTTTCGCCAGTCGCGTCCTCGAGTCTTAACGTCGCTTCTTCGTTGACAGGTCGGTGATTGAAATATTTCCCGATTAAGATGCTCCGCTGACCTATCGCGAGAGTTATAGCCGGTTTCTGAAATACTTTGCACGGGCAATTCCGATCCTCTTGCTCCACGATGATGGATACGACAGTGAAAACGCACACGCTGTCCGAGATTCCAGGATTCACAGCGGGATTCGACCTAACGTCCCGGCTGATATCTCGATAATTAAATCGAATGTACGAAGAGGAAAGCGTCGTTCCGGATATACGAAGAAAGTAGAAAATTCGCTGGAAAGTCACCGCGATAGTAGCCAAAAGCTTCTCGTGTTACAGCACGTCTCGTCGCCAAAACACGACGACGGCGACGATCCGCGCGTTTCGCACGTAGTTGGCAGCGATTTCTACCGATGCGCGTGAAATAATTTGGCGTTTGCTGGTCTATTACGTAACCGCGCTTTACAGTCCATTATGGCAAAAAAAGACGCTCCTGTAATGGCTGAATACGATAAACGAATTAAATAATCCTCGACTTTGCTAGCGAAGTTTCGCGATGCTTGCTATAAACGTCACGATGATCGGCCTGTGCAAACGGGCTATTTAATTGAATTCCGTCGTTCGTACGAATATTTTTATGAAAATCGATGATCGTGGCGGGAATTATCGTAACGTATTTCTAGTTCGTTTGCGGAAATCCAAGAAAAATGGACGATACGCGTTGATATTGACAAGTCGTCAACAAAATAAACTTTGGATTTTTTCGATCACTTTATCGGAGCAGTTCCGTAATCGCGATATCAATCATAGCCAATTTTTTGCAAGGAAATCGATCGTGCAATCATGTACGTAATTCGACGAAAGTTACATTTGGCGGTTCGAATCTACAAAGTCATTAAAAATTCATTTCTATTGCACCTGCCACGTGTTCCGCGTGACCCTGAGGAACCCCTCCACGAAACCTTGGAATTTCCGTTGAAGAACGTCGAAAGATCGAGCAAGGAACGACGACAAGAACGCGTACGAGGGGAAAAAATATCGATTATGGGAAAAAGCTCACCTTTTGCACGACGAGCGGAGTGCCGAAATCCTTTCCTCCCTGGAGACGAAAGCCCCAGGGGGATCCGTCGAATCTGGAGAGCTTGACGTTGATCAACTGAGCCATATCACTGATATCTTTTTGCGTAGCCGGTAAAAACTAAATTCTCGTTGGTGGACGAACTGGTGCAGAAGGTAAGGAACAAGACAGCTGGATCGTCGATTAGTCGATCTTGCTTCGGCTGGCCGATCTTCTACCAGTTACCAGTGAATTCGAAACTACAGACAGAATATGCACGTTGCACCGGTCACGGTTGACGTCTGCCTTTGCGAGGCGGAATCACGCGGTTGGGAGAACGGCACGTACGTTCCTGAAGAACGCGCAGACCGGAGTAAAGGTACAACAGACGTCGAGGACGGTCAGTCGGGCAGCGGGGCCTGCCTGGCTGCCTTCCTTCCATCCGATTCGGCTCTGCCGCGGCTCTGGCCAGGGGCGGGGATAGGGATAGAGACCCAACACGAGGGTAGGAACGAGACCGCGATCCAGAATTATCCGAGGAGGGGGTGAATGGAAGGTGCGACGAAGAGGAAGCCACGTTTCCACGCGAAAAGGAAGGAAACCAACAGCGAGATTTATCTGTTTCCACTGTGTATCGCTGCCATTAGAAACAAGAGGCATTGATGATGCGGCAGAAGGCCACGGGAATCGATGATTTTTAATCGAACAGGAAACGTTTAAAGAGTTACTTCGAGTATCGATGGAATAATATGGCTATCTCGCTCGATCGAGCGGATGGATTCGGTCGGGATGAAGAGTGATAAGAACGGAAACCACGGTCAGCAGAACCGGAAACAGCGATTAATGGGGAAATCGGTCAAGTGGTAGGAGCTACGAAAATAATTTCTTTCGCGAACGGAATGGAAGTATCGCGAAGAAAGAGAATGGAGATAACGATACTGCGAAGAGAAGAGAAGATAAGGATAATAGAATGAATGAGATAGAATCGAACAGTCGAAGAAGTATCAAAAGAGAGGGGAACTGGAGAAGGAAGTAAGGGGGAAGCAACGAGAAATAGAGAAGGACGAAGAAGGATACATGGTGGTGGTATCAGGATGGCATTCCCAGCGTTTCATTTCTTCTTTTTTCCTCCGTTGAACCTTTCTTTCTCCAACAGTGCCGATTCCTACCGCTCTACCTTCTGTCATTGCTCCCGGTGCTTCGACCATGAAGAGAAGCACCTTGCTCGCTACACTGTCCGCCCATGTACTCCTCCCCGCGATAATTTATTCGCGATTGTACTTGGAACAACGATCGATCGATTAGCCGGCACTGCGATCACACATTTCTCTCCTGTACGATATCACTAAGTTGCGTGCTTTCCAATGAAGCTTCTGTCATTATAGATTTATAATTTGTAACTCCAAGATTGCCACACAGTGACTTCCGAGATGCAACAAGATCCTGAATTGAAACGTCGAATATCGATACCGATCCATCCGATGCTTTACCTTCTTCGTATTTCTACTTCAAATTGAGACGTAACTTCTTGTTAAATTGCAACTGGTATTTCGCGTCTTTATCTTTTCAAGCTTCGTCGCCTAGCCTTACTGATTCTTATAATTAATTGATTAATTAATTATTCAGAAATAGCGGCCATTTTGCGAAGCAAAGCTACGGAGCACCTGTACCAGGTTTAACATCACTCGTTGGAGTTCATGGAGAGATGGACATTATTCGTTAATTAATTTCTTTGTCTAGCATCCTCGATGCTGCGCTAGACTACCAATTACATTCGTCTTGAAGATGTACGCACGGTGAACAATGTCTTGCTTAATAGCCAAGTCAGTCATTAGCGGTCACTTTGTTGGAATCCACCTAGTCCATGAATAGAGCTCGTCTATAAACAATAGTGGCAAGCGATAATTCTATCGTAGACGAAGAAATTCCAACGTCGGACTAATCCTCGAGAAAGAAAGAAACCTCTCGAGACAAAGATGAATATCAAGAGCGGTAAGAAGAACTCGCGTCGATGAAAGCAAGACAACTGGCGACGAGGACCGAAAATTTCCCGAAACCAAACGAAAGCTTCAAGTTTCCAAGATAACCCAGGATTCTAACGAGTGTCCGTGAGAGACCCGAGAGTGGCTGGAAGCGGAGTCGGATTAAAGCCTGTCGATATGAAAATGCGACAGAGGATGTACGCGAACTATGCACGACTGATAACGTACGACAGGGTGACCATGTTTGTTCAGCTGAGGAACGTTATCATAATCGTGGCCAGAAGTCATAGTACGAGGCAGAATGTGAAATGCATTCAGCTGAGCGGCCGGATGAGCCTAGATTTTCGTGCTGTTGAGAGTGGCTGCATTTTCTGCGCCGGTGGCGGTCACGAGGGCGCGAACTAGTTCGTGAATCATGCCTAGAATGCTTTACATAAATTGCTCGGGACCGACGTCACGTTCTCGGACCCTAAGTATGAGACGACCACCGAGTAGGATAGAGAAAGAGGGAGGAGAAAGAACGTTCGTTGGCCACGGCAGAAGTGACTCAGCCTCCCGTACGCATGCGGGACACGGTTCAGAACAGAGTCGGAAACTCCAGAAAGGTGAAAGTATGCGCGACTCATCCGCGAGCTGGCCGGACTCGTCCTCGGATATCCCATTGCGCGAAAGGATCTTGCGTAAAGCGTGCCTGTCATTCGGATCATTACGTCGGAATTGAACAATCGAATCGTCTCACTGACGCGACACTGCTTTGCCTCCAGTTACACGATTTCTCCTACGATCATCTGCAACATTATCTCTCGTGACGGGCCTGATCTTCGCGATCCACCAGTTACTACTCTACGAGACAGAGAGCAGCGATTCGAGGAAGAAAAAGGATAATAGAACCGTTTGTTCGTGTATTTTGATCTGCATCGTTCGATATGAATCGCTAGACGATAGGACGGTGTGTCGTTGAAATGACGTTTTACGAAAAAGAATCAATCCTTTTATTAACGCTTAATCTGTATAACGTTTTTGACAATACTTGTACTCGGAGACATGTATATACGACACGCACACGTACTTGGTAGTTAGCTTCTTACGTTTTATATTTAACACTCTCGATCGCGGCACACGTATTCATATCATTTTTTAATTTTTTTTTCGTCTTAAGTATCCCTCGGTTTTACATCGACGAGTCAGGTCTGATTGATCTTTACTCGGTATCTTCTCGCGCAAGGAAGAACATTCTTTTCTCTCCTTGTCAATGTCTCACGGGTTCAGTGACTGACGCTTCGAGTGCTCCTGTCATCCGCGATACTCAATGCCGGAGATTTCTGGAACGAGAGAAAGCAGCAGTGTTTCGTACTTTTCCAGGATTTGGAAAATTAGATCCTATCGATCTGATACTTACAACCCTCTCGATTATGTCCTCTGCAGCGTTCACTTTGGCAGGCCTTGCTGGAATTCCCCGCTTCGGCTCTCGGTCCATCTTATGAATCATCTTATAGACGCTCGAGTTCATTAAGTGATCGTAGTTTGGTAGATTCGTCTTCTCGTACTTCTTAAAGTTTACTCTGCGTTCATAAATCACAAGGATTACTAATAGTTCGTCTCACATAATTAATCACGTAACCTGCATCGCCGTTCTTCTCGCTGTTATTCCCGATGAAAAGAAACCACGCTCGGGTATACGCGTATAAATGCACGAAGCAGTCGGGTTGCGTTATTAAATCATTGTTGTAGGAATGCATATTCATCGAATGGAGAAAAAATGAAACTCACCCTAGGGCTCTGCCTCGGATTACTTCCGCCTGGGAAGATAATACCTCGGCAATCATTTCGTCATTGAAGAAATCATTCGGACACCTCCATCTGCGGCCAAGCGTAAGTTCGACCTGCTTAGCCTGGGGCCAAAGATCTTGCGAACGTTTCCTCCCTCGCTGCTTTACTCTCTGCTGCAAAAGTATAGAAAACATAATTGCACGCTCCGCTACCACTCGATTTAATGCTTCTTCGCGATTCAGGAATGCTTTTGACACGAGGTTACGGAGGAATCCGCGTGCTTTCTTGCTCAGACATTTAGGGAATGTGCGTGACACGGATAACTGTATCTTCACGAAGTTACGGGACATAGGACAACAAACTGATGTTTCTAAAGTGCACGTCACTAAATTTTTGACTCGCAGATTTCGAGAACATTCGAGACAGGGAAATACGTTCTTTGGATGCATGGAGAACGATCAAACTCTCCGAACAAGAATCGATGTAATTGCAAAGTATAGATTCCAATATGCTGGGTGACACAGTACGGGGAAACAAGAGTTACTGCACATTCAATTTACATTCCATATATTCTCTGGAATACCTGCAACTCCTGAATAACTTGATCTTTTGCCGATAGATTTGGATCTGGTTCGAAACTGCCTATAATACATATCGCTTCGTTTCCGTTATCTTTCTTTAACGTTATCGCTTTTTAAAGATCGGTGTAGCAAAACGCGATTAAAGAATACGGAAGATATTTACCGTGAGAAGGAGCAGGACTTGGCGATTTTAAAACTTTCGTCTCGTACGAGACCACGAATTTCTTCACTCTGCTTCCCTCCTCGCTCTTCACCGACAGCGTTCCTTCCAGTTCCTGTGTCTCCGTATCTTCCTCTTCCTCTGCCTCGCTATGAGTCTGAATTACTCGCGTTTGCTCGTCCATATATGCCGAATACGAAATATCTTCCGTATATTCCGTCACATCTTGTTCCTCCGTGTGCTCCAACTCTTCGTGTTCTTCACGTTCCTCTTCCGACCCTTTCACCTCTTCGTTAGCCTCGTCCGCCCCTGAAAAATCAACTCGTCAATCGTTATATCAGTCTTCATGCGTCACGCGTACGGTTTTAAACTGATTTCGACGCTGATGGAATTTCGAACGACCCGAAAGAGACGCATAAGAGACGCGACCGATTAGTGGATTGAATCGAAGGTAGCCTTGCTGGTTTCGCAACGAAACGACGGCTCGGCCGGACGTAGCTGACGTTTGGCAGCGCTTCAAAAGACCCGAATGCGTGAAATTTGAAAATATGCGTGTGCGTAGGCTGACGCGAGATACCGATCGAGGCTTATTCGCTCGAAAATGTAATCTTAGCGAGCGAGCCTACCTCGCCGTCCCTCGTCGTTGGCAGTGGCGCCGTTTTGGACGCCGCTCAGCTCCATGATTTTCTGCAGTTGCTCCGACACGATTCTCAGGTGACTCTCGATCTCGCTCGGCAGCTGCTTCAACGCCAATAACTGTCGTTGAACATTCTCCAGTTGCTTCTCCAGGTTAATCTCAGTGGTGACCAGCTCCTTGATCTTCTCTTTGTCAACCTTCGCGGCCACGTTCGCCATCTCTTTCTCGATCTCGCTCAAAATGCTCTCCCGTGACGGCTGCTCCTGACACGTCTCCTCCTCGCGAACACTCTCGATCTCGGTCTTCTCCTCGATGCACGTTATCGTTTCTTCCTGTTGCTGCTCGGTCTCACTTTCCTCCGGTTTCGATTCAGCCTTTGATTCCGGACGCGACTCGGACTCGCGTTCCTGATCCGACTTATAGCCGGGCTCTGGAGTCGCCGATGGTGTCGCCGATGGTGTCGCCGATGGTGTCGCCTGAATTCAGACAAGAAGCTACAGAGTATGGGGCCGGGGGAAGGTGAACGGTGAATCATGGTTTGTCTGGTCTGTCGTGCAACGAAATGGGATTGAAGTGCATACGGAAATTCGGATGATTTCTTTCCATGCGTCGCGTCGGTACTTTGATCTATTTCCACTTTGTCCATCGACACGTGCTGTTTTTCTCGTTATTCTATCACTCGATCTCCGATTGCGCATGCACTTCCAATCGTACGTTACCGTTACGAGTACCTTGCACACGTAACGATGAATTAGTGCCGGTTCCGTTTCCGGAAAACAGACAGGATTTTGGGAGAATCATCATCCCGATGACGAAACGCAGCGTCCTGATTGCTCCGTTCGATATTAAGGGTTATCGAGAATTTTAGCACTGGGTGCATCCAGATATATGCATTTTATTTCGAATGTACTTTTCTCTCGACAATCCATCGTGAGTACATTGACAATGAGGTAATTATATGTAGATATTACATGCATCGATCTGCGCGTGCATGATAACGCGAGATCTCAGAAGTTTCGTTTTATACTCTACACTCGTTAAACTAGATAGATACCAATGAATCGACGTGCGAGTACGATCATTCTGAATATTATTTTCTGCTTTTTTTTCTTGCTTTTTTTAATTTATGTACTATGTTAAATGCACTTGCAGGGCCGTGCATCATTGCCGTTAGCTTAGACATACGCTTCGAGAGACAAATCGTTACTTTTGTCATAAAAGATACATCGCGATTTGTTAGCGATTAATTTAGTTAATGGATGAATCTCTACGCTTTCTGGCTGCACGGCCCTAAGAACAAGTACAATTGCTACCTCTAGTCACGAGAAACGGGTTACGGTTACATTGGACAGAAGATACAACACACACTTTACGAACGACGAACACTTTTTCATTTTTTTTTCTTTTTTTTATACGGTTACAGATGGCCCATGATGATTTAGCGTCTGTTAGGATGTCCTAGAACAAGTGATGTCGTTCTAAATCTAAACATAATCGTAATCATTAATAGTACCGTCTGGGGTGAACTTATTTAGATAGACGTCTGCTGGACTGATCATCGATCGGAGAATTTACTTGTACATGTACAGTAGAATGATCGAGGTACAAGGTACAAACGCATATGCTACCAATTTCGTGAAATCGACGTCTATACGATTCGTTAGTCCCTCGTACAGAATGGTTGGCACGAAAGACAGCCTACGACCGTCGCGATCGTTTTCCTCGATAATCTTTTTATCGCTAATCTCTCGATTCATCGATACTCCGGAGAATTTTATAGGAAGCCAATTGAAGAGACAACTGGCCAAGGTATTCGAGAAATACGTGGAGCCGGTGGAAATGCTACCTCTGGACGATCTTGAGAGTCGTCTACTTCCACGATGGAAAACCTCGGTCGAGATAAAATCTTTAGAAGAACGAATCAAATTGGAGAGGATATCGCCTTCTTTCATGGTCGAAACAGACGCGTCGCTTTGGCGCGAGTTCAAGGATGAACAGCCTGGAATAACGACGGAATAATCGGAAATACCTTGGAGAACCTGGCAGCGAATATAGTTTATGATTAAGCCGAGAGACTCGAAGTGCTTTTTAAGGATACGCTCAACGTAACGAGTTCGGGCAAAATATTTTTTCCTTGACGAGACTACGCTTGGGTATGCCGAAAAACGGCCACGAAGATCGTGCAGATCGAAGAACGCCTTCTCGAGTAGATACGTTTCTAAGTAACGACCTTTCATCTTAATCACCGAACTTCTCCTTCTGTCTTTGTTATAAACTTCCTTCCAAGACACCATGTTCTTGATGTAGTTCATCAAACGGACAACGTTGCGCCAAAAGATGCGCTGAAAGTAACGACCCTTAAAGTACAAACGTTTACCGATACGCGATTTCGATTCTATAGAATTCGCGAGATCGACATCCTTCGAACATCCTTGCTCGAAATGCTTGAGAATATCGGAACGAAGGCGAACCGCGACGAATTCTACGCTTCGAATGAGAATTTTCTCCGCGTAACGGGTTCTTCTCAAAGAGATTTCTTTGTTCGATAACAACCTATCGAATAATTTACTGGAGGAAAAGCTATCGGGTTTCTCGAACAGCCCGTCGATCATTCGCCTCATCCAATTATCCTCTCGCTTCAAGTACGTCTCAAGGTAACGACCTTTGATCCTGGATTTCGAAGATTTCTCGATGCTATTGCGACGTGGAAGTTCTTGAAGCTGCTCCATGCTGCGATCGTTCGATTGCACGAAGTCGCTTTCCTGCAAGCGTTCCCTGAACGAAGGCTTTACTTTAATCGGTTTCTTAACGTCACCGTGGCTTTTCTTCCCGAACAGACACCTTCGGAAGTAATGACCTCTCGTGTAGAAAATCTTCAACTTGCGCTTGCTCGGCGCACGTCGCGCTAATACTACGTTCTCTCTGTATTTCGACAACTGTACCGGTGCAACATCCGATTCCGATTGCGTACGAGCCTCAGGTTCTTCCGCATCGAGAGAACACTGATTCGAGCAGGTCTCGATCGGAAGTTCGAGACACGATGAGGACACCACCACGGAACACATGGCGGGCGATTCGAGTGGTTGTTGCGAGCTTAGACTATCATCATCGAGCGGCATTAACGAAACGATCGACGAACCCTCTTCCTCGATTTTCGTCCCCACTTCGTTATTTTCCATGTTTACCTCAGGAGTAGGAGGTTCCGGAGTGCTCGTGCCCTCGGGTTTCAGCAGACCCCTCTCTAGCAGTCGGTCGGTCACGCTCCTCCTTTTCTGCTTCTTTATCACGACTTTGTACGACTCGACTTCTGTTTCTTCTTGTTCCTCCTGTTTCTTACGTGGCGCCGGTATCGGTCTCTGTGGTTTCTGTAGGAACACCGAGGTACGTCTCAACTGTTCTACCAATGGTGGTTCAGCTGTGGCAAGGTTCTGAAGTTCCTCGATCACCTTCGATTGCCTTAGAACAGTGGCACGGGGCTTGAGTTTCTTAAAGTTCACCCTGCAATATTAGACAGTAAGAGTCGTGTATCGATTCTGGCATTTCTCTACGCGTGTATTTCGTTACGGAAAGAAAAGAAAATGACGAATGATATACCCCAAAACCCCTTTGTCGGTCAACAGTTCCTCTTCCTCGAGGATCAATTGCGCGATCTCGTCGTCCGTAAGATTTTCATTCGGCACAATCTCGCTATTTGCGTCCTTAGGCTTCTCCGGGAGCGATTCTACCTCTGGCTTCGCCTCCTCTTCTGCTGGCTTTACCTCGTACTTTATCTCCTCGTGCCGCTCGATCACAGTTCTTTCCTCTTTCAAGATTTGCTCTGGGAAGACAGGCGGTAAATCTGCGAGCTAACAAACGTTCCTACGTCTCTATGATGGCCGATTAAGCGGGTATGTTCGTAGCCAGTGGTTTAACGAGATACCTACCGGGATCTTATAGGGGACGATGTTCTCGTCGGACAATGCCTCCACAGCTTTCAGCGAATCTTCTCCTCTGTACAACACAGTTGTGCCCGATTAATGATGATGTATCGAGGTGGAATTTTTCGATCGATCTGTCACGTGTGGTCGGTACACTGTTCTGCGAGCAGCGATCTCCTAGGTGAACGGAATTGGAACGGGCAACGAATTTAACTGCTTTTCGAAGCTTAGTGCGAGCCGGTTCACGCGCGAAAGGGTAATGAGAGGGATTGTGGAACAAATGTGTGCGATGTAAATGCCAGCAATAAAATCGCCAACCAATGATAAACAGATTTCATTCTGGGTCACCTATTTATAAGTGTTGCAATTCGTTACCACACGTTGCCCGTACGCCGGGATATTCTGGCCGCGTCGCGTTATAATAATGCACACGAAGCGTACAGGGACAACCGCGATATCTCTACAATTTTCTCTATTTCTTCCTTTCTTGCGCAAATTAAATTACCAATTATTCTTCCCATCGAAAGCCACTAAATGCAAATTACGCGAGTCTTTGTCAGAGATGAAACAGACGACCCGTCACGAATCACCGGATACTCGAAATAAAATTCTTCCACTGTAAAATGTAGTTCAAGTTAAGCTTGCCCTTCAACAGAGGCTCGATTCGTTGCAACGATGCAGCGTGTCGTTGACATTGATATCGAATTGTTTTCACGGCTAGCTCGCAGAGCTCTATTACCGGTAGAGATTCGCAACTAGAAGTACTTCTCTTCGAACGTTTGATACGTCCTTTCGTAATTTCACTCTTAGATTTATGTACTTACCTCTGTACCCCTAGAACAAAATTATTTCCTGCTCGCATTAATTCTTCGTGTGCCTGACCGTGAGTTAAATTACTGATGGGTTGATCGTTTAATCTCACTACCACATCGCCGACCTTTATGCCCATGCATTCTGCTAGGCTCCCTTCTATGACCTATGAAATGTTTCTAAGTCGATATCTGTTTTTATTATAACTTATTTCTTCACTCGCGGAGTATATATATATATATATATTTGTGTGTGTGTATGATGAAATTCGCAAGTTATTAGAATTTTATAAGTCAAGAATATCTATATTCATTGCGTATATATCCAAATTTTTAACAAGCGACAAATAATTACTGCATTTGCAGTTGTAGTTACATTTACAGTTTCATAAAGTCGTTAATGTAGAAATTGATACGTTTATTCTACCATACCGACACTTTCGAAAGTGTACGCCTGCAAACGCGCAACCCATTATACCTGTGTGCATTCGATTCTACAGGCGTTTAATGAAGCAATATCGCTATAATTTATAATCCTTGTACCTTGTTGTAGCTTGTTAATCTTTTACGAATAATCAGACTCCAAGATTGCTTTTTATTTTCGTGTGAACGTATGCATTGCATACGCGGTGGTACATTTAAAGAGTAGAAATGTTATAAATAATATAAAGTACGTACTCTGATGACAGTCAGTGGCTGTGGAAAATCGCTTCCACCTGCCAATCGAAATCCCCATGGTGTGTTGTCGAATTTTGTGAATTTTATGTTGATAGCCATATCGTTCTACATCTGAAATTCATGCGTTCGCGGTCATGTTAGACCGAAACAGCTTCTGACATTTAAAACGATACGTCATCGGCTTCGGTGAAATTGCTCTTGAAAACAATTTCCGTGGTGATTTAATCGGTTATATAATCGAAAAAAGAGAAGTGAAATTAGTTCGTGAGCTGGAGTTCCCTCGAAATGTTTCGGGGTGACTATGCTAATCGCGCGAGTCATTTACAATCGCGTAAGTTTAAATTTTGTTTAATCTTGACAGAGAATAATTCTCGTACTAATCGACAATTCTTAACTCGTCATCGTTAACAAGCTCGGAAGAAAATTGATTAAATTAATATTAAATTTGACATTGACATGCTCCGAGTTATCGATTAAAGGAAACATTATTTGATCGCTAAACGTTAAGTGAAACATGCGACAATTTATATAGACTTAATGAAGGGATTTTATATGCAAGTTTTTCTATATTTCACCCTCGTTACGTAATGCTTATTTTAAAAAGTGACAGCAAACAAAAGATCGGTATTTTTATCAGCTATAGTACTCTGATTTGATTTCCGGACATCCCTGACAATTCGAATTAAATGTTTGCTTCTCAGCGATCGTTTAAGAAAAGATAAGCAAAAGTAAAAAGCAAGGAGTTTGGAACGCGGTGGTAACCGAGAGGAATTCGTACTATGTACGCGGAAGTGGCCGCGCGTCGGCCGAAACGAATATAGTCTAGTCGGTGCAAGAATTTACTCAATGATTCATGGTTACTTGCCAGTGAATTGCGCGAGTAATTGTCGCAGGATGGTTGTACCACGATGCACGGTAAATGCACACCGAGGAAAATTACTATATCACTGTATTCATGGATCAGAACCGCGCGGCCACCAACTGGACCGGTCGATACAGCGGAAGAACCGATCGAACCCGACCAACTCTTCAACACGCACAAAACGGTGTCACGATAATGTTTGCCAGAAGGCAATCGCAGAGCTACCGACTTGAACGCTACAAATACACGGGTTCTTCTCCTCTCAGCCTCCCAACCCCTGCTCTCCTTGTTATCCAATCGCAAAACAGTAGGAAGCAGGCTTGATCTATTTACTGATCGATTTATTTAGATTCGGGTCCTCGATTTCCTCGTCGTCCTACGGAGTGTTTCACTCTTGCTGTTACTCTTTCGTAAAGTAGCGATATCTACCTCTCTTCTCTACGACTCAGCTTGAACAACATTTTTCGTAATTTCGCGCCAAAATCTAGAGATCCTCAAATCGATTTTAAAATTGTAACACATCCCCGCCATCTACCAACGTATTCGTAATGTTTGAATTTAATTATTTGCGCCGAAACGCTCGAAACCACCTAATGCGAATTTCGGAATTTAAAATTAGAAACAGATTCATGGAAAATTTTAATGTTTTGTGCCAGTGATACAATTTGTGCTTATGTGTTATGTGTAAGATATGTCATATGCATGTATGTACATTACAAATATACCTAATATACAGTGAAAATGCAGCACTTAATTCTCACTAAACTCTCATTTCAATAACAATGTTTAAGTGAAAAATGGAAAAAAGTATGAAACATTGTAACGTAAATTTTATTCTTATCAACACAGGTCTGCTTAATCGTTTGGACTTGGTCTTTCGATTGAAAGTTGAATCAACCGTAGACGTGTGTTTCTGCTACTATATACTTAATACATGTGCTTAACATATATATGTATAACGGAATAAAGCAACGTGCTTAATCGACGTTTCTCACTTTAGCGTGCACTTTAAAACTGGAAATGATTTTGTAATGTAATTTACTTATCAAGCGTTCGTCTTTTTAAATATAATTTACTGTATTTATTAATATACATTTATACTCCTTGTACATAAAAAATCTTTAACGAATATCATACAACAATACAAATATTTATACAAAGCAATATATAATCTTTAGGTTTTTTGCTTTTTCGTACTTGGCGCTCCATCCTGTTCATCCGTTTGAAATATTGTTTGCGGCTGTGTCTTTTTATATGCTGGTGCAATCCAATATGGATTTTCTTCTGCAACTTTTGCATATTTCAAAATAGCCTCTCGCGGGTCTTGGTCATCTTCTATCCTCTTACTAAGTCCCAAATTGCGAATTACATAAGAACTAAGTGTTCCACCAGAAGATGCAACCCTTCCACCCTGACCGGAAGTGATTGGTAAATCTGGCCTTCTCGATTTAACGGGATCTAAACGATCTTTTTCCATTTGCTTACGAACTGATTTAGGTCTGTCTTGTCTGAATAATGGAAGTGCATGTGGCGTAATAATTTGTTGGGTTGACATTACTTCAATATGTTTTTGTTTCAAATGTGTTTTTACAACGCATAATTTTGCACCTCTTAAACTCTTCTTAGAATCATAATATACTTTAACTATTCCATTTCCACAACCGACAAATATCTGATTTAGTTTTGGATGCCATAATGTTTTAATAACATGTGAATTAGTTACACTTATTTCATTAATTAAATCAAAAGTCTTTGTATCGTAAAATAGAATTCTACCTATATTTTGACCTTTGCTCAAAGACTCTCCAGTAATAAGGACTGAATCATCTGGATTAAACATACAGTCTGTTGTATCATATCGAGAATATAAATTTTTTGCCTCAAAAATAGGTGTTTTAAATGTTCTTAAATCCCAAAGCTTTAATGTGTCGTCACAACTTCTTGTTGCAAGCATAAATCCAAGATAAGAGAAGCTTATACTTGATATCTCGGCACCCTGAGCATGTGCATTTCTCTGAATTAGTGATGGATTAACAAAATTTTTTCTATGATCCCACATCTGTATAGAACCATCTATGCAACCACAAGCCACTACATTACCCTCTCTACTATAACCACACGAAGTTGGTATGGTCTTAACTCCATTTTGTGCTCTACACTTTATAAGATATTTATGTGCACGTGGTCTATACAAAATCCATATTCTACATGTACTATCTTGTGAACAAGTAAGATATTCCTCTTTTGTGAATGGATGCCAACAACCACTATTTAATCCTGCTGTATGACCTTTCGTACGTGCCATATCTGTTATATATTGATCTCCTTTCACAGTTTCACATTTCTCAAAACCATCTCTATCTAAAACCTTTGCTTGTGCAGAACCTGATATGACTAATATGACATCACCAGTCATTGAGTATTGTAGACATTTAATTGGATGATTTTCACAAGGTTGTAATGTTCTGAAACTTCTCATTGATGAGTCCATACCAGCAAAATCCCAAAAACAAAGATCATAATCAATTGAACCTGACGCTAATCTTGCTCCAGAAGGATCTGCTGCAATAGCTGTTACTGCCTTTGTCCCATGAGTCATTGTAACTTCATGACTGCATGGAATTTTGTCTCTTAATTGTAACTCTTCTTCTATATCAGAGTCTTGGTCACTTTCATTATCATCGTTATCCTTTACCTCTGAGGTCTCTTCTAAGTCATTTGAAATCTGAAGTTTAGAAGGTATTGGAGGTCCAATAAAATCATTATCTTCCTCATTGTCGATATTATTATCAATATCATTGTTGTCAGTATCTTCATCTTCTTCTTCTGATGATTGAATTTTAGAAGCTTTCTCAACAAGTTTTATTTGTTCAGCAGTTGCTTTATTACTATTAATAGTTTTTGTAATATTCTCCAACATTTCTTGCACATCAAAGGACTTAGCCTTTTTTCCAAATCCTGTTATACCCATAACTTCTTTCAAACTTTGAGATTCTTCTTCATCTTCTGGTTTAATCTCATTCATTTTTGTTATATTAGTCTCCAATGATTTTTTACCAAATGTACCAAATCCAGAATTTACAAATTCTGTATTTTCGGCTGTTTGTCTAGTTAAATTTTTACTAATTTTGCCAAAAGTTATAGTCTTTTTCATGTTCATGGTTATATAAAACTTGTAAAACTTTTATAAATAATGTGAAAAAACTTAACGTTTATGGCTCTTCGATAAAATCTTGTTTTATATAAAATCTAACTTAGTTTAATTTAATATTTCATAAGAAACGATATACAAAGAACGGCACATAATAAACTGTAATTTATATATATATTGAGGTTATAATATTTCATTCTTTTTCTTTCGTTGATATTGATGATTTAACAAATCATTTAATATAATTATATATCCTTGTATTAGAAAACACATTAAAAATCTCCTTTATTACGTGAAAATAATTTTTTTATTAACTTGAATCATCTTTTAGATTAAATAAAAATGTGAAAATCGCTCACATCATACACTGAATACTACACATGTAACGTTTTCGCTGACAGATGTCAGTACCTCACAAATTTATCATGACATTCCACATAATGTGTATAGGTATACTTCGATTGCAAAAAATATATTAGAACGTAATAATGGTATATCAACGTGAAAGAATTAAAGTAAACACTAAATTGCATATAATTTGAAATACTTATGCGGTTTTACGTGCAATGGTATATTAAGTAAATATTAACTTTAAAACTTCAAGAAAAATTAAATATATAATTCATATTTTCATCTAACACCTTATGATTTTAAACAGGTATCTATTGTATTGATAAATCATTATCTCGTAGCAATTATAATATAAAAACATTATACAATTGCTCTCATTCACAATATTGTTTGATTATAACCAAATATAATATATATAAAGTATTCAAGTAACAAAGTAATTCATAAAAATTAACAAAAGTAGCTAGTAAAAATACTTCTAGCCTATAACTAGCTACAGTGTTTGTTAAAAATGGTAGACATAAAAAATAATGTAAATGAAATACATGATAATAATCATGAATCAAAGATCAGAACTAACAGTTCTGATACTGTACCATCAACACCCTCCTCATCATCCGACTACATGACAGGAGAAGCAGATGACAGTTCAGAGAGCAAAGTTGTTATACCATTTAGTTTAAAATCAGTGGAAAATACACTTTCACTATCTAAGGTACAAAATAAATATCAAAATTACTTGTAACTATCGTTCATTTCGTTTCATTGTGCTTTATCTTTAAGGATACATCTGAAGAATACCTTAAAGATATGATAGACGAATGTAAGCTGATGGTGTTAGAAAGTGCAGAATGTTCAGATGAGCGAAAATGGCTTGTTAGACGTTTAATTGAGTTGCGTTTGAGAGTGCAAGAATTAAGAGAAACATCAAAAGAAAATTTACTTGAAACACCAGTAATTTTAGGACATCACTTAGTACCACAAAAATATTATATCACAACTTCTGGGCCTGCATATTGTGATCATTGCAGTGGAGCTATTTGGACTATGCTCCAATCATGGTATATGTGTAGTGGTAAGATTGTTTAAAATTATTGAAATTAGAAATTGTCATTTATAAAAATAACAATAATAATATAAAATAATAATAGTGATAATTACAGTTAATAATAATTATAATATCTAATAATAATAATAATAATAATAATAATAATAATAATAATAAATTTTTTTTTTTATGTAAATTATCATGATATTTAATAATTATTTTTGTAGATTGCAAATTTTGTTGTCACTGGAAATGTTTAAATAATATACGTAGAGTATGTGTTCATGTGATTGCCAGTGAAACAGGTGGTTATACTTATACTAAAGATATTTGTCCTGAACAAGGTTTATCAAGTCAAGGATATAGATGTGCTGAATGCAAAGTTCGAATAATATTCAGTAAGTATATTTATTAATGATAAGACTAATACAGATAATACAATATCAGATAAAGTAAACTCAATTCTTTAAGAAAAAGCTTAGGTTTTTATATATATACATTCTATATTGTTACAATGCCTATAAATTTTATTTTTATTACAAGCTTTCTCTAAAGGATTATCCTTATCTTGCTTTCGCAGTCCATTTAAAAATACAGGTAACACATATGAGGGAAATTTTGAAAATGTGGATTACAAATGAAAAACATTTTTTATATATTAATATATTCTTTAATACATTATGTATAAATATAGAATCAGCGTGGGTTGAGTCGCGACTTTGTGACTATAGCGGATTGTATTATTGTCAAAGATGCCACTGGAATACTGCAATGGTAATTCCTGCAAGGGTAATTAGAAATTGGGACATGGAACCGCGGCTCGTATCTCGTGCTGCTGCGCAGCTCCTAACACTTTTAGAAGAACGTTCTGTTTTATTACTCGAAGAATTAAATCCAAAATTATTTACTTTAGTTCCAGATCTATCTGTAGTAAAGGTAAAGTAAATCATTACTTTATATTAGGAAAGTAAATTCTCTTACAAATTTAAAATAAATAATAAACAGAAGATGCGGCAGGAAATGCAGATGATGAAACGTTATTTAGTTTTGTGCCCAGAAGCTAATAATCAAGGATTGCCGTGGAAAATTGGAATACGTATTCATATGATAGAAAACTCTGGGAATTATTCAATTAGAGATCTCATTGATCTTAATAATGGAATGCTTCTAGAAGAAATTCGTACTGCATATGATACTATGCATACTCATATTACAGAACAATGTGAATTATGTAAAGCAAGGTAAATTTTAATAAATCAGAACATTCTGTGCCATTTATATATGCAATTAAATCTTAATGTGTAGAGGTCATTTATGTGAATTATGTGGCAATGATGAAATTATATATCCATGGGATGCAAGTTCCATTATTTGCCACCAATGTTTGGCTGTTCATCATCGTGCATGTTGGTCAAAACGAAATCATTGTTGTCCACGATGCACAAGACTTCAAAAACGTCGTTCCTTGCATGATCAACAAACTTTGGATACAGATGACTGCATTACAGAAAATGGATTGGACACGAGTGAAACGCCAAGTGATACAACATAAACATTAAATATGGCCCATTACGGCTATTCTAATTTGTATATATATCGTGTTTTATGCAATTTATAAAGTTTATAAAATAAAATTAAAAGATATTCATCAAATTTGAACTCATAAGATACCTCGATATTAATGTGCTTTTAATAATGAAAACAGTTTAATTAAATGAACTTCATGCTTTTTCATAGCAGACTTGCTAATTGTAATCTGCATACAATTTGTTGCGGATGATTGAAATAAATTGTTATTAATACAGTTACAGTGTATCATTTATGTAATAATTTAAGTGCATTTATGTAGTAAAAAGGTCACATAAAATAATAAGAGACTAGCAAGGAGAGTGCAAGTTTTTTGGGTCACCAATTTAGTTGAAACTTTGCAGGTTTGTAGATTTCGTCATGCAGTTCAAGAATATATATCATTATAGCCGCAACTACTCATAAGGACAGTGCAAGTCCTTCGGATCACTGATTTAATTGAAACTTTGCAGGTTTGTAGATATTATCATGCAGTTTAAAAAAATATATCATTATAGCTGCAACTATTCAATAGTATACGAGATATTTACGATTAAAGCGTTATTATTGCTTTAATTACAGATTTATTTCCACTATTTTTTAATTAGAGCTGTAGCATAACGGCGACATTCAAGAATTTATGTGATGGTGGACCGGGAATCAATTCCGTCCATGTCAATTTTTCTTTCAATCTATTTTTTATTTTGTATTCATTTTTCGCCTCTGAAAATATTGTAAATAAACAATTGTAAATAAAATTTCTTAATAAAAAAATTTGTTTTTTACGCTTTCTTATGCTAGTATATATTTATTACAAAATAATAAGAATACTATGCAAGAAAAACAGTTTTCTGTAGCAATCTTATTTACTACAGAAAGAAAGCGAAAATATAAATAATCATTAAATACAGGAAATACAAAACCTGGCGCTCGTGTAAGTATTAATTATTAAATTAAACATTGTATAAGAATGTTGCCTATAATTCCAACTTTGCTGTGCAGCTATAAATGTTCATGAAATAATTATAAAAACTCGGAAATTTATTAATTTTCTATTGCCGAATTGATTAATTAAGGTGTATTATTAGCGCATTAACCAGAAAAGATATCTAGTCCGAATAAAAATTTTACTGCCTGCGATCAGCGCCATCTATGATTTTGGACTATATGATCAGAAAAGTAATAGGAATATAGAATAGGCAAGGAGGTCGTCGAAGAGCTCGTCACGTGTCAGACAATGACAGAGATAGGATAGAAAAGGATACAAGAGCTCCGACGGTGAAAAGTTAATAAATTACACAATTTCCGTAATTAATTTATGAAGTTTTATAATTGCATTGAAAAGCTGAAAATTTGATCAACATTCTTATGTAATTTTCGTACATAATTTGTTACGAATTAGTTAGTTATTAATAATTGTTTTATGGCGTCCATGATTTCGTAACGACGACCATCACAATCTTCCGTGAAAATAATTAATACTAAACGAAATTAGAAAGAAAATGTGAACAAAAGTTATATGAGAAGATTCGCAAGAACCTTGTTTTTATAATGAGTGCATAAAGTTTCATAAATTAATTGCGTAAAGGATAGTAATTAATGAAAAACCAATGGCGTCTTCGACAATTTTCGACAATAATTCAAACACTCCGTAGAATAATAATTAATAATTAATTAATTGGGGACAAATTTGTATCGAAAAATATATTGGAAGGTCCTCGAAGGATCTGCCTTTACGATGCAATTATAAAAGTTCATAAATTAATCACAGATATTTAGTAATTAGTGAATTTTCCACTGCCGATTTGATTTATTAAAATATATTCGGAGCACATAACCAGAGTTAGTAAACTGACATCAGAGCCATCTATGTTCTTATTGCGGAACCCGAGCTTTGAATCTAAAATCATCGTCGTTACAATCATGGACGCCATAAAACAATTATTAATAACTAATTAATTCGTAACAAATTATGTACGAAAATTACATAAGAATGTTGATCAAATTTTCAGCTTTTCAATGCAATTATAAAACTTCATAAATCAATTACGGAAATTGTGTAATTTATTAACTTTTCACCGTCGAAGCTCTTGTATCCTTTTTTATCCTATCTCTGTCATTGTCTGACACGTGACGAGCTCTTCGACGACCTCCTTGCCTATTCTATATTCCTATTACTTTTCTGATCATATAGTCCAAAATCATAGATGGCGTTAATCGCAGTCAAAGAATCGAAAACCACGTGACACGATGAGCGGAAAAAACAAAACAATAAAACGACAAATAATTATAACACGTCTTCCTACCTTCTCTTTATTCTCTTAACAGTACGACGAACATGTCACAGATGAAGGTGAGTGATTTTATTCTTGGTAAAAAGAAAATGAAACTACGATGGTTATATGCATAGGTACTTTTTATTCACTTTGAAAGCTTCAGATATACACAATAATTGTAAACGATATAATTCTTCGGTTCTTTTTCTGTAACTTACATTTTATTTTTTATCCTTTCCTTCATTGCTCTGAAAATATAAATATAAGACAGTCATTAAAAACTCCAACTTTCTATAACATAGTTATAATGTAAACAATAAACTAACTCTTTCTCTTTCTTTATGACTTCCTTCATTGCTCTGAAAATATAAATATAAGACAGTCAATAAAAACTCCTACTTCCTATAACATAGTTACAATGTAAACAATAAACTAACTCTTTCTCTTTCCTTATAACTTCCTTCATTGCTCTAAAGATATAAATATAAGACAGCCAATAAAAATTCCTATTTTCTATAACATAGTTATAATGTAAACAATAAACTAACTCTTTCTGTTTCTTTATAACTTCTAATTCTTCTTGAGTTTTTACTTCGTCGTTACTATCTCAATCTCTACTACGGTCTTCTTTCCTTTTTTTATTTGCAAGTCCAGGTGGTTCAATAGCTGGTTGTGAACTTAATTTGGGATCAATTAAATGATCATGAGCTGATTTTCCCTTACCACTAAACTTTTTGTTTACTTCTTCATTTTCCAGTACTATTATTCTTGGTATAATATCAGCAAATGGATTGTTCAATATTATAGATTTTAACAATCTTGGAGGATAAAGTGATTTATCATTCTACAAAGAAGAGGAAATATAATATTTGTATCATTTCTTGACATATTTTCTTGTAAACATTAAATTTACCTCATCTACAGGTGCCTTTTCAAGTTTAAGCATGTTATATATAGTTTCTCCAGTGACCTTATCAAAGATTGTATGTTTACTCTGCAATTCTGATGTAGAACCAAGGATAAAGAGGAATTGAGAAGTATTGTCATCTTTTCCAGCATTAGCCACAGCAATTAAACCTCGTCCACAAGAACGTATTCTTGTACGAAATTCGTCCTAAAGCACATAGATCCAATAATTATTTTTGAGTAAAAAAGGAATTCCTTTTATTTTTAAATATAGTCTCACCTTAAATGGTTCTCCATACATTTTACCACCTTCTCCTGTATCTGTGGGATCACCAACTTGTGTATGAAATATAAGGTCATGGTAATAACCTTCCACACATAATTCTATGAAATTTCTACATCTTTCTACATGTCTTTGGAGTTTCTTTTGCCCATAATTCTAACTCAATATCACCAACAGTTGTTTTCATTGTAACCTAGTTATGACAAATATATTAGCTTCATCAATGTAAAATACTTTTAAAATCAAATTTATTAAAATTTAATATTTATTATTCTAATTCGGATTAGAAATTATTAAATATATTAATATAGAAATTTAGAAAGTGAATATTGTATATCGGTTAAATTTTTAAAAACAAATATACAATTCATTGAAATATTATTAACTAATACTTATTACTTTACCCTTAGCGGCTGGTTCTTGCATATAAATATTATACATGTTAGTAAGTCTCCTATAATAAAAAAAATCCTTCGTCAATAATATTTCATATTAAATCTTTAGTTATTTACAAATCAATCGACCAAATGGTTCTCGAATAATGATCAGCAGGTAAGACGTACCTTTTACCTCCTTTTAATGCTGGCTTTATTAGCCCAACCAATTCCATGTGCCACAGCCCCACTTTTTTCTGCTTTTATAGTTTCCAAGTTCTAATAGATATTTCGACACATTTCTGCCTTAATGCAACATTTACACTCTATATTCCATTTATCTTTAACTTTTACAACCATTACCAAGTGTCCATATTCCATCTCTTTAATGATCCTTATGTTTGCATGTCCATGCCACACATCCTTCTCTGTTGAAACATATGCTGTCCCTTCCTGTTTCTTGATTCGACGTAATATGTGTTTCTTCCTCTCAGTGCTTTCATTCAAACCTCTCTCTTTTCTTTATACACGTTAGCTTCATCATTCTGAAACTTAACACATTAGCGATGATCATTGAATTTCACCACAGATATAAATATTTATTTAGATCAGGAGAACAACATACCTTTCAATCCCACTGTATTCTCTATACTTCTAGTTGTTACAACAGACCATCACCCAAATTCATTTCATTCCTTTTTGGCTGCCTAAACCACCCCCATTTTTTGAATCTTTATTTGACCAACAAAGATTTCTATCCTGTATGCTATATGGATAGCAGACCTACAATTCAATAGACATATAACTTAATTATATGTATTGCAGCTTCAACTTTTTTTCGCTTTTAAATTTAATTCTTGGCATATCATGACACTAAGTTGATGATATTCCATGAGTCCAATACTTTTCTACTGTTACACATGGTCGTTTATTTTTACAGAATATGGTCCTGAATAAGCTCCACGCTGTTATACCAAACAAACGTAATCGAAAAGACTAAAATCCAAGAAAGAAGCGAAACAGTTAATTGCGCAGCACGATTTTATAGCCACTAACACATTCGGCACTATTTCAGGAAAACGCACGAACGAAACTAAAAAAAAGCGTCCAATCTAGTTACAGAAAATTTTCCTCTACGCTGTTATATAGAAGTAACATAAGCGAAAAGCCTAATTTCGAAGAAAGAAGCGAGAAAAGTCAATTGCGCAGCACGATTTCACAGTCACTGACACATTCCGCACTATTTCAGAAAAACGCACGCACGAAACCAAAAAAAAATATCCAATACCGTTACAAAAAATTCTCCTCTACGCTGTTATATAGAAGTAACATAAGCGAAAAGCCTAATTTCGAAGAAAGAAGCGGGAGAAGTCAATTGCGCAGCACGATTTCACAGCCACTGACACATTCGGCACTATTTCAGAAAAACGCATGCACGAAACCAAAAAAAAATATCCAATACCGTTACAGAAAATTCTCCTCTACGCTGTTATATAGAAGAAACTTAATCGAAAAGCCTAATTTCGAAGAAAGAAGCGAGAAAAGTCAATTGCGCAGTACGATTTCTCAGCCACTGACACATTTGGCACTATTTTCCGAAAACACACGCACGAAACCAAAAGAAAATATCCAATCCCGTTAAGGAAGAATTCACTCTACGCTGATAAATGAAAAAAACCGGAGTCAAAGGCCTAATTTTGAAGATAGAAAGTAAAAAGTAAACTGGGCAGCAAGATCTGACTGCCACTGACATTTTTGGCACTATTTTTCGAAAACGCTCACTCGAAATGCAAAAAAAATATGCAATTGATGAAAAAATTACTCTTCGCTGTTATATCGAAAAAATCTAACCGAAAAGCCTAATTTCAGAAATATAGGCGAAAAAAGTATACTGTGTAGATCGATTTCACAGGCACTTGCTTTTCCGTTACTTTGTTCCATATATGCACCTTCAATCGTAAAATAATCGCCCTACTGGTTGGAGAACAATATATTCTATGCAGATGTAATGAAATATCTTAATCCACAATCAAAAATTACAATGTAATAGCGATAATACATAACTATGTTGCAATTGAACGTCAAGAACGAAGAAAAATTGAAAAAAAAACTATTAAAAAGCTGCCTATTTAGTAATGTTGATCAAATATTCCAATGGGTAGTAGAAATCTAGGATCTTCTATAGCAGATTGTAACGGACAATGCGATAGTGTTATAGGATCCCGCACTCACACCACCTCATTTTCCACATGTGTCGTTATATGATTTGAACTATGCAACATCCCTTTTTTCACATGTAGTATATTATCACCGAAGAAATGTTCACAGTTCACATGTTCACATCTTGAACTTCGTAAAATAATTATAACGTCAATCTGCGATATCACTACTTCACGAAACATATTGAGATTTAATGTTTCACTTTGACGCGTGAGCATATTCCACCATTTGTCACCGGTATGCTCGCTTGCCGACAACTGGAAGTTGGTTGCAGCCGGATATGCTATGTACTTTTGTAGCGGGAAAATGTTGCATCTTTGAAATAGCTATGTAACTAAGCATCGATGTAGAATATCAAACGATGTTTCTTATATTTATTAATATCAATGAAGCAAATGTAAATATATTTCTGGTACCAAAAATTCCAAATTTCTATAATTAATTCATGAACTTGAATTATTAATTATTCCATTGTACTAATGGAAAGATACACCATTAGTATCTTCGGCAATAGTTCAAACACTCTATGCAATAAACACCAATAATGATTTAAATAACAATGAATTCATATCCACAATTATATTAGAAAGCTCGCTAAAGTTGTGTCTTTACGATGCAATTGTAAAAGTTGATGAATTAATTTTAAACGAACATGAAGTCACAAATGAAGATGAGTGATTTTATTCTTGGTAAATAAAAAATGAAATTACAATGGTTATATGCTTAAGTACTTTTTATTCTTGCATTTTATTTTTTATCCTTTCCTTCATTGCTCTAAGGATATAAATATAAGACAGCCAATAAAAATTCCTATTTTCTATAACATAGTTATAATGTAAACAATAAACTAACTCTTTCTGTTTCTTTATAACTTCTAATTCTTTTTGAGTTTTTACTTCGTCGTTACTATCTCAATCTCTACTACGGTCTTCCTTCCTTTTTTTATTTACAAGTCCAGGTGGTTCAATAGCTGGTTGTGAACTTAATTTAGGATCAATTAAATGATCATGAGCTGATTTTCCCTTACTACTAAACTTTTTGATTAATATCACAGATTCTTCTTCATCTTCTTCTGCTTCACCAAATGATAAAAGATTGAAATGTCGGTAACAAACTTTTTCATTGCAAAGAATAACACTATCAGGGCTATATTCTGCAAACATATATGATTTTTACTTTATTACTGCTGTTTTAGTTTTTGAACTGTCCTTTACTTCTTCACTTTCCAGTACTATTATTCTTGGTATAATATTAGAAAATGAATTGTTCAATATTATAGTTCTTAGTAATTTTGGAGGATAAAGTGGTCTATCATTTTACTAAAAAGAGGAAATATTATATTTATATCAATTCTTGATATATTTCCTTGTAAACATTAAATTTACCTCATCTACAAGTACTTCTTCAAGTTTAAGCATGTTATATACAGTTTCTCCAGTAACTTTACCAAAGATTGTATGTTTATTCTGCAAATCTGGTGTAGAACTAAGAGTAAAGAAGAATTGGGAACCATTGTCATCTTTTCCAGCATTATCCATAGCAATTAAATCTTTCGTCTTCCTACCTTCTCTTTATTCTCTTAACAGTACGACGAACATGTCACAGATGAAGGTGAGTGATTTTATTCTTGGTAAAAAGAAAATGAAACTACGATGGTTATATGCATAGGTACTTTTTATTCACTTTGAAAGCTTCAGATATACACAATAATTGTAAACGATATAATTCTTCGGTTCTTTTTCTGTAACTTACATTTTATTTTTTATCCTTTCCTTCATTGCTCTGAAAATATAAATATAAGACAGTCATTAAAAACTCCAACTTTCTATAACATAGTTATAATGTAAACAATAAACTAACTCTTTCTCTTTCTTTATGACTTCCTTCATTGCTCTGAAAATATAAATATAAGACAGTCAATAAAAACTCCTACTTCCTATAACATAGTTACAATGTAAACAATAAACTAACTCTTTCTCTTTCCTTATAACTTCCTTCATTGCTCTAAGGATATAAATATAAGACAGCCAATAAAAATTCCTATTTTCTATAACATAGTTATAATGTAAACAATAAACTAACTCTTTCTGTTTCTTTATAACTTCTAATTCTTCTTGAGTTTTTACTTCGTCGTTACTATCTCAATCTCTACTACGGTCTTCTTTCCTTTTTTTATTTACAAGTCCAGGTGGTTCAATAGCTGGTTGTGAACTTAATTTGGGATCAATTAAATGATCATGAGCTGATTTTCCCTTACTACTAAACTTTTTGATTAATATCACAGATTCTTCTTCATCTTCTTCTGCTTCACCAAATGATAAAAGATTGAAATGTCGGTAACAAACTTTTTCATTGCAAAGAATAACACTATCAGGGCTATATTCTGCAAACATATATGATTTTTATTTTATTACTGCTGTTTTAGTTTTTGAACTGTCCTTTACTTCTTCACTTTCCAGTACTATTATTCTTGGTATAATATTAGAAAATGAATTGTTCAATATTATAGTTCTTAGTAATTTTGGAGGATAAAGTGGTCTATCATTTTACTAAAAAGAGGAAATATTATATTTATATCAATTCTTGATATATTTCCTTGTAAACATTAAATTTACCTCATCTACAAGTACTTCTTCAAGTTTAAGCATGTTATATACAGTTTCTCCAGTAACTTTACCAAAGATTGTATGTTTATTCTGCAAATCTGGTGTAGAACTAAGAGTAAAGAAGAATTGGGAACCATTGTCATCTTTTCCAGCATTATCCATAGCAATTAAATCTTGTCGACAAAAACGTAATCTTGTATGAAATTTGTCCTAAAACACATATATCCAATAATTATTTTTGAATAAAAATGGAATTCATTTTATTTGTAAATATAGTCTCACTTTAAATGGTTCTCCATATATTTTACTACCTTCCCTGTACCTGTGGGATCACCACCGTGTGTTATGAATCCTTGGATAATTCTATGAAATATAGTGTCATGATAATAACCTTCCATACATAATTGTATAAAATTTTTACATGCCATAGGAGTTTCTTTTGCTCATAATTCTGACTCAATATCATCATTAGTTGTTTTCATTATTTTCTTTCGGCGGGACACCTCTTTTAATAACGTGAGGTATTGTTTTAGGTACCATACTGAAAAATAAGTTATACAGTTATAAATATTTAATAATTTATTAAAATATAGTTTTACTTTAATAAACAAACAACTTACCTGATACAGTCAATAATAGGACACACTGACAGACAAAGAGTACAACCTGTACAATCATCTGTTACTAGTGGAATGTGTGTTTCTGGATCAAATTTGATTGCTTGATAACCCGAATCGGCACAAACCATGTAACACTTTCCGCAATTTATACACATATCCTAACATATAAATAACTTATTGTTAACATGTAATAATAAAAATTAATGGAAATTAGAATGACTAAAAAATAATTAAAAATCTTACATCATCTATTAATGCTATCACTTGTTCCTTGTTATTCAAATCCTTGAACGTACCAATATAATTTAGAGCTTTTCCAACAACATCTTTTATAGTTGGAATGGGTGCAACAGGTTTCGAAATAGGTCTCGTTATTTCGATAGGTTTATCGAGTGGATTTGAGTTAACTTTAATTTCTGCTATTTTTTGTTCCCGAAGTATTTGATATTCTCCAAAGTATGGTACATTCTGAAACATGAAAGAATTATAATATAGCATATATTATTCAACCGATTAATTGCCATTAAGATTATATTTACCTTGCCAAGAGCATGTTGTAAGACAATTGGTTTTCCTTTTTGATGTTTAAATGTCGGTGGACTTTGTCCATCCCAATCTTTCACTTGTTTCAAAGATTTCAAATACAATAAGGCTTTCAAACCAGTTACGTAATCGTCAATTAGGGTAAAATCTTGATTTTGTATAGCACTACATACCTATCCATAATTAAAAAATAGTTCAATGAGCGATATTTTATATAACAAATTTGTATAAAAATAGTATTCACAATTAGTTTACCTGTAGGACTGACGCGCCACAATGTAAAAATTGAAGAGCAACATCAGCCGAATCAATACCGCCGATTCCGAGTATAGGAAATCCAGGAAAAGCTTTCGCAATAGAAGAAATAGCCTTTAAAGCTTGAGGCCTGGTTGCATTTCCTGACATTCCCCCATAAGTTGTACCCTTCTTAATTCCAACAGCTGGCCATGGCGTTGCATCCGCATGCAATCCCATTAAACTTTGTACCGTATTGATAGCAGATACTCCATCAGCATGACCTATTAAAAACAATTATTCATTCAAACATTTAGTACTGAAATATCCTGGTTCTTTATGTGTGAAAATTTGCATTACCTTCGTAAGCTGCTTTAGCTATTGAGACAATGTCAGTAATATTTGGCGTTAATTTTACGAAAAATGGTATCTTTACAGCTTCCCGAAGCCATCTCGAAATATTTCTTACTAATTTAGGATCCTAATACGTAAATGTATGTGATTAATAATAAAATATTAGTAAATTATTTAAAACTATACAAGTATACCTGTCCACAAGCTAAACCCATTCCAGATTCTCCCATTCCATGAGGACAAGATAAATTTAATTCTAAAGCGTCAGCACCGGCTGTTTCAGCTTTTTGTGCAAGTTCCGTCCAATCTTCTCTGTTGTACGAACACATAATACTAGCTATAATAATCTAAAATTAAATTCAAACTTTTATTAACATTAAAAATAATTATATACTTTATACGAATTAACGTAACTGTTGTTTTCAAACCTTGGTCGGGAAATCTTTTTTCAACTCTGTAATGCTAGTACACCAATATGCTTCTGACTTTTCAGATATCAGTTCGATATTCAAAAAGCTGCTTTGTTCTGGACCGTAATGATATCGAGAAGTTGTACCCTTGATTATTCGTGGTGACACATTTGTGATAAGATCCTGAAATATTGTTTTATTAAAATAGTCTCCCTAAAAAATATTGACACAATGAATTACTTTATCTAAAGAAAATGTCTTTGTAACAGCAAAAGCCCATCCAGCTTCAAACGCTCGCCTAATCATGGTACTGGACGTAGTAGGTGTTGCAGAAGCAAGACCAAAAGGATTTTCGAATTTTAGGCCACACATCTCAATAGATAAGTCAACGTTATCGATTGGAGTGTAAAATTTGGGTAATATAGGAACCTCAGGTACTTCCAAATTATAAGAATTCTATTTAGTAATAAATAAAAATTAAAATATTTTCGTACCTTCTTTTCTTATGAATAATTGTTTGCTTGAATTTTTGAAAATATAACCTGAATAAATTTATGAATATACCAGGCAGCAGTTTTTCCATCGTTTACAGATTCAACCGTAGTATGAGCAACACCGGCAAGGTCCCCACCGCAAAAAACTCCAGGTACAGAGCAACTCATAGTTTCTGCATTTACTTCCGGTAAGTTCCATTTATTCATTTTAATAGGTACCATAGCTCGCGTTACTTAAAAATGTAAATCTTTTTAATATTTCTTTTGTGAAAATACGAGATTTTAATGTTACTTTTATCGTTACCTTTCGGATCTTCTAGTCCTGATCCGAAAGCAGATATAACAAAATCTGCTTTTAATCTATAAATTTGTTCCTCATCCTCTACCCATTCACCATTCTCGTTTTCCTCGGTCCGACAAAATTCCATTGCAATTATCTTTCCATTTCGAATTATCACTTGCTTCGGTGATTGGAAAGGTATGAATTCGCATTTTTCTTCTCTCGCTAAATCTAGCTAAACGTACAAAAAACACATAAATTATAGAATGATACCAGAAAAGAATCAATAATTTACATCGTACAATGACAATTACTTCTTCGGGCACAGCTCGAATATTAGTAAATCCTTTTCTAAAAACCACAAAAACTTTCTTTGCACCACATCTTAAGGCAGAAGTTGCACAATCGAAAGCTGTATCTCCAGCTCCAATGACAATAACGTTTCCATAAAGAGCCGGCAATTCCTTATTTTTACATGCACACATTCCTGGTTTACTGCCAATCGCTACTTTTGGCAAAAAGCTCTTCGATGTATAAAAACCCATCTTTTGTGTAATATCTGAGAAAATCGGAATAGTTTTTGCTTCAGGAAGACCAATTCCTAAAAAGATTGCCTTATACCCGGAATTTTGAAGACCCTAAAAGCTGTTAATATATAGAATCCAGTTTCCAAAATCAGTACCTAATTTTAACTAACTACAATCATAGAATTACACATAAAGACCTGTATTGTTAAGTCATTCTCGGATAATGCTCTACCGAGTTCGATTTTTACTCCTAAATCTTTGACGAGATTTATCTCAAAGTCGACAGTATCATATGGTAATCGGTATTGCGGGATCTCTGACGAACTTAAACCACCAATGTAATTTTGCTTTTCAAAAATTGTAATGTTATCATAACCCAATCGTGCAAGAAATGTTGCACAAGACAAAGAGGCTGGACCGCAACCGAGCAAAGCTATTTTAGTGTCGGCATATGGAACACTTTGTTCAGGAATTCTAATTTGAGGTATATTCATTTTTTTAAACACCTAAAAGATAATAATTGTATACGAAATCATGTTTAATGTACTGAACATTATCAAAGAACAACTGTTTTCTTACATCGGTAGCAAATTGTTGAAGACCACCGATATTGATGGGTCCTTCTTCAGTTGCATGTAAGTTACACCCACCCACACAAAGATCACTTGTAGGACAAACCATTCCGCAAGTAAGACCGAGAGGGTTATCGGATAGAATTGCCTTTGCTGCCCCGTAATAATTTTTATTTGAAATAGAAGTAATAAAGCTTTTAATGTCTAGTTGCGTTGGACATGATTTTTGACATGGGGCATCTACACATTTTAAACAACGTGCAGCTTCTCTTAATGCACCGCGTTCACCTAACGTAGTGCGCTTAATGTCATCAAAATTTTTCGCTAGGGATGAACATCTAACATTACAATTTTCGTTAATGTTTCTTTTCCATTTCTTCTTATTCTCCTTGGTATACGCTGAAGGAACAAGACTTACAAATGGTTTTATTTTTGGATTTAAAGCTAGAAGATTCTAGAAAATGTAATTTAATTAATTAACTACATTCAAATATGGGTAATTGTCTAGATTAGAGCATATTTTACCGATTTTAATGATCTTATTTTCATAATCCTTACGAATTTATTTTTTATTCCTATTTACATGTGTATAAACAATAAATAAGCGGTAATCATATATTTATTTATATATATTTATATACATATTTATATATATAATTAACGGGCAGCCCCATTAGTGTACATTTGTAGATTTAACCAGTTCTATACGGAGGATATTACATATAAAAAACGTTAGATATCAAATACGAATGAAGAAGTGACAGTATAAATTGGACATATTTAGATAATAGTTTACGAAAGGAATTGACCGATTCGGTGAAGAAATCTAGATCAAAACTAGCCCTATCTATAGATTGGCGCATACACTGTTACAGATAGCTATGTTTAATTTACAAGTATCTGATAAACACTCTTTTAAAAACGATTAACGATAAAACCAAGGTCTAGCAGAGATATTACGTAGTTGTTCAAAATATTATTTTCCATAGCATATGAAAGACATTAAAAAAGTCGGTAATATGTACTCTAATTTACATAATTATCAGAGCACATTGTAAACAAATTCAATGTGCCACTGGTCATTAAAAATACTCACTTCGATATCAGGCACATCTTTACTAAGTATCGTAACTGATGCCATTTTTTCGTAGCGTAATTGCAAATATAAATAATAGCCTTGCAGTTACTGTAGATAATACATAAATTTCATGTAAATATTAATATTAATATTGTGACAATATATGTTTTAGAATATCATACCTGATTGAGAAAATAATTCAAAGCGTTCGAAGAGAAGAGGCAAAGTGTAATAAAGTGCTGATTACGCACATCTACTTTTATACGACGATATTCACTAAGCAGGGACGAATTAACAAATAAGTAGACCCCTGGTGATCATATTACATTTGTCGCATGAAGGAATTTGCGAGAATTATTGATAAAATCCGTAAACTACTACTTCCTTACCGATCCTGATAAGATTGAAATATGTTCTAAAGGGCGTTATTTCGGACAACCATTTCCTTTGAAAAAATTGGCGACCCTAGTTTCCGAGATATTAATAAAAAAAAAATTGCTACTGATATCTATATTGAATTTTTTCCATTCGTGTGTAGCTCTTAGCTTATCATCATTTTTCAAAGAGGAATCTTTGAAGTAACTAACTAACTAAATATACCCCGCACACATTTCCGTACTCACGCGATGCCCAACGATGTCTTTTGAACAAAATTTAAAATAGGAAATCTAGATAAACCTGTAAAGGAAATAGATTAGACTTGAAAGAAAATTAACTAAAAAAAAGAAACTGAATGAAAATGGAACAAATAGAAACAAGAGTCAAACAAATGGAACAAACAACCCAACGACGAGATAAAAACAAACCAAGGATAAATTTTAAACAAATTAATTTTTCTCGATTAAATAATTAATAAATTATTATTAAATTATTTAAGGTGAGTAGGGGCGAGTGGAGTGAACAATGGCTATCCACTAACTTCTGGTCTAGCCAATGACCGACCATCCCATGCCTATCTCCGATGCCAAACAATTTAGATGTTACTCGACCAAAATCAAACCAACAAATGATTCAATTGTCCATCGCGCGGCCTTTATATAGCCGACGATCGGCCGAAGGTTGACGTAAATTATCAGTGGTGGCCGAATTAATAAATGTAGAAATCGTTGAAGAGTTATTATTTTCGGCAATTTCATCTTAGTTTTTCCTTAAAATTTAACCAAAACCTATTATAAATTTTGATATACCTATTACAATCTGATATGATATATTTTTTTTATAATTCTAAATAAATATTTAATCGCAATAACAATAAATATGAATGCATTACAACGTATTATATCTGGCAAGGAATTTTTCATTTATTGCTTATTTAACTATTTTGGCGGTATTGTTCATTTTATGGAGCAGTATACCGTTCTTACCGTTCTATGGGTAAATTTCTCAATTAAATACAACAATATTAACGTTTATTCTTCAAATTTACATAAAAAGTATTAAATATTTACAATTTCTAAAAACAGATCCAAAATATATTTTGTATGTATCCAAAACATATTCTAATATTGCTTAAGCTTTTAATAAATTATATTATTGTTTGTTTAATAGCATTCCATTTAACGCAGATAAATCTTGTTTATTAATTACAATTTTATTTGATATATATAATAATATTTTGTATTCATTAGATTTACAGATGAAAGATTATATTCTATCTGAATTATTTGGTACATTACTGTGTATGTGTTGTGTGATATATCAAATTTTCATATATTGTTGGCATGGAAATCAACTAGATTTATATTAATATAAAAATACAAATTTTTCAATAATTTTTCATTGTCTTTACTTTGTATAGTCTATATCAAAAATAAAAATATAAATGCATATTTTATAGTATATACCTTAGCTTGGCATTTGATATGCAATACCTATCTTATATTATGGTTTGTAATCATTGAACTTTTGATAATACAGTTAAAGAGCTTCTACCATCACAGCTATGCCTTGACCTCCACCAATGCAGGCAGAACCAATTCCTAGTTTTCCACTGTTTCGTCTCCTGTACAGTGATATATTATTATTATTAAATCATCTTAAGTGTTAATATTCTCTTCTGTTTTAATATTAACATACCGTAATTCATATATTAAGTGTGCTGTAATTCTACTACCAGATGCAGCCAGTGGATGTCCAACAGCAATAGCTCCACCATTCACATTTAATTTATCAATATCTAAATTCAAATCTTTAGCACATGCTAATGTTTGAGCTCCAAATGCTTCATTAATCTAATAAAATGTAAAAATAATTAAATATTTAATTTATATATTTATCTTTAAATAAAATTTTCACCTCGACAAGATCAATATTATTCAGATTTTTATTTGTAACTTTGAGAAGTTGCCTGATAGCTGGAGCTGGACCAATTCCCATAATACTAGGTTCTACACCTACAACACTATACCCTAGTAAACGTGCCAGTGGTGTAAGACCTTCTGCCTTAACAGCTTCTTCACTAGCTAAGATAATAACACCTGCGCCATCACAAATACCCTATGCAAGTTAAATTACACATTCATAAAAGTATATATTTAAAATATCTACAGTTAATTTTAATAAGATTTAACATACAGATGCAGATCCTGCAGTAACTAAACCTTCTTTTTTAAAAATAGAAGGTAATTTAGCTAAATTCTGAAGAGTTGTTTGAGGCCGTGGATGTTCATCTACATTAACAATAACATCTTGTTTTTTCACAGTTACTGTAACAGGTGTAACTTCCTCCTTAAAATAACCAGCATCATTGGCTAAAACAATTGAAGGTTAATCTTAATATTTCTATTAATTTTTGGTAATAATTTAAGTAATTAATATGAAGTACAATTGTAAAAGTACTTACCAGCCTTCCATAATTGTTGACTTCTTAGAGCAAATTCATCTACTTCTTGTCTCTTTAAACCATATTGAGATCCAAGCTTTTCTGCAGTTAGACCCATAGGTAAATTACAAAAAGTATCAAGTAATCCAAGCCATAAAGAATCCTCAAATTCATGCTTCTGCCCTAAAACTGTGCCAAAGCGAATATTTCTTACAACAAAAGGAGTTTGACTCATATTTTCTGCTCCTCCTGTTAGAACTATGTTAGATTCCCCTGTTAAAATACTCTGAAAATAATAGTTAATTATATCATATATTTGTACAATAATTATGAGATATAAATTTTATTCCAATTTTATAATACCATTGCGCATAAATATACATATACCTGTGCACCACTAACAATTGATTGAAATCCAGAACCACATAATCTGTTTACTGAAAATGCAGGTTTCTCTAAAGGTATACCAGATTTCAAGGCAGTATGGCGAGCTAAGAGAGCTCCATCAGAAGATGCTATCTTATAAATAATAATTATAAATATAATAAAAATAAGAAATATTTCATTAGAAAAATTGATTGATATACAGAGTGATCTACACAACTTACACACCCTGAGTAACTTCTAAAGTATTCATTACACGAAAAAATTTGTTATATACAAGTTGCATGTTTCGAGGTAATGCAATATTGCATTATTAAATAATGCAATTATTTTATTTGTAGGTAGAGGAATGTCAAAGATTTTAAGATCACCTTTGTTATTTTAAATGGAATACTATATCTTTTGTATTAGAATATGAAAGAGTATAAAATTTTGAACAAAAAATACAAACCTTTGTTAGCCCTAAACTTAATAGTTAGAGTAATTTAGCTCCGTTTCTCAAAAACTTAGAAAGCATAATACTAAATTACAGACTCAAAGTTATTGTAGAATTTTAACACTCTTTCTTTCATATTCTGATACTAAAGAAATAGCATTCCATTTAAAATAACATGACCTTAAAATCTCTAAAATTCCACCACCTACAAAAAAAAAGGTATATGTACTACATAACATGCCCCTCGAAACATGCAACTTTTATATAAAAAATTTTTCATACAATGAATACTTTAGAAATTATTCAAGGTGTGCAAATTGTGTGGACCACTCTGTATATTAATACTACTTAAATACATACAGATAATACATGGCCAAAAATAACACTATCTATTTTTTCAGGATTTAACTGTGCAGACTGCAAAGCAGATTTTGTAGCAATAACTGATAAATCAGTTGCACTTTTATTAATAAATGAACCACCCATTGTACCAAATGGGGTACGCTTAGCAGCTACAATAAATATTCCTATAACATAAAAAATATTATAATATAATATTTTTACAATAAAATATTTTATAATAAAATAT